ACGTCGCGGCCCACCCAGTGCGCCGCGCTCAGCTCCACCGCGAGCGGGCAGCCCGACGCCGCGAACAGCGCGGCCGGGACGCTGAACTGAAAGTCCGCCCCGTGGGCGGACGGGCCCGACCCCGCGAAGATCGCCCGCGCCGCCAGCGAGCGCCGCAGGAGGATCTGATCCGTCGCCACGCCGCCCACGACGAGCAGAAAAGTCTCGATCGGGGGCGTCTTCCCCGGGGTGAAGAGGGGATGGGCCGGGCCGGACGCGTGGGGTTGCACGCGAATGCTGAAGGACCGGCTTGGCGCCGCGCGGAAGCGCCTCCCGTCGATCTCGGGCGAAGACGGCTCCCGCCGAACGACGACTTCGCAGGCGGGGAGTTCTCGGACCAGGGCCTGCAATTGCGCGCCGAACGGGGGCAATCGGCTGCAAATCACCTCCAACTTCCGCGGATCCACCGTGCCAATGCTCTCGAAGGTTTGATAGCCGGCGTGTGCGAGGGCGCTGGCGACCGCCTCGCTGACACCGTCGAGCTGACGGAGAACGAGCGCATCCGGCCATACGCGCTGCTCAATACAGCGCGATAGCAAATGGCTCTGCGTTGAGAAGGAAAAGGACCCGTTCACCAACGCGTAATCGCAGGCAAAATGAGCAACTCGAGGAAGGATCGACCACAGCCGCACCGAGTCGTTTCGCAAGGAGACGTCCGAGTTGGGGAGCTGAGAAATCTGAGCCTGAATGAGAACGTAAATCTTATGCCAATCCTCACGGACTTCGCGGCCCCCCCTCTTTCCACTCTGAAGAGGGAATTTGATGCGTTTATTCAGGTCGTTCAGGGGCCCACGATCGCCCTGCCTAAGGCGAATTTCGGCAAACTCCTCAGAGAGGCTCAGGATTCGGAGCATGTCGGACAGCTGGAAGTGGGTTTGGACGCGCTTACGGGTATGGGACGACTCCACCACCTGATCCTGCGTGCTCGTTGCTTCCTCTTTGTCCACAAGAGAAGGCAACGAGGCGGCAGCCCCGGATGAAGAACATTGCCGTGAGCGTGTCTCCTGATTAAATGTTTGAACCGTTTCAAATAAAATGTAAAGGCGAGCCATGGATCGCCCAAGACGAGAGCTTCCGACCACCTCATCAAGATCAAGGGAAACCTGAGTGGGCAAAAGATGCGATCCCGTCGACGGCGGCGGCGGCGCGCCGTCGGTAGGCTTCACGGCATCGCCACCACTTCGAGGCGAAGGGGCAGGAATTGCGGTTGACGGATAAACCGATCGACTACACAGCTCAATACAACCTTCCTCATGAAGGGCCAGGAGAACGCGTTCCATCAAGGATTTAATAAACAGCTCCGGCGAGAAGGCGTTTTCCTCCTCTTTGGTGGCAAATTTGAGGCCGTAATGCCGTGGGCACTTGGTTAGACGAATCCAGAAGAAGGTCGTCCGCACCCAGTTCAACCCAGAAGCAAAGCTATGGATCGTTCGCAGCGCGATCTCGGCGTTGACGTGCTCGACCATATGCCGGTGCAATTGGCTTTCCACGGTTGAGTAGGCATCGCCATGGCGAAGGGAGTCGTAGAGGCTAACTTTATCGTCGGAGGTCAGGATCAGCGCGACCCCGCGGTCATCCATCCCTGGCCTTCCCGCGCGGCCGCACATCTGCGCGACCTCCGACAGCGGGACGTCCTCGCGCTTCCCGCTTTTAAAAAACGTCGTCCCCTTGATCACGACAAGGTGGGCCGGGAGGTTCACCCCGAGCGCCAAGGTCGTCGTGGTGCATAACACCGAAATATACTGCTCCTTGAACATCTGCTCGACCAGCTGGCGATCGGGGAAGCTCAGCGCCGCGTGGTGGTAGGCGATCCCCAACAACAAACACTCGCGGAGCTGCCGATCGCCCAGCTGACGGCATTTCTCCTCGACGTCGGGGGGGGGGCGGAGGGCGCCCTCCCGGTCCGCGGCCCTCGCAACCTCGCGGATCTCCTGCAGGATTCGCTGCGCGGACCCCACCGCCTCCTTGCGCGAGGCGCAGAACACCATCGCCGGGCGGCCGTCCCCGAACTGCCGGATCAGGCCAAACAACTTAAAGGACAGAAACCGATCAAAGGCGAAGGGGTTGCGGGTGTCGCTCGTGAAGCCGAGGACTTTGATCACTAAAGGGACCGGGCGGTCGTGGTGGGTGAAGGAAAAGACCATGTGCGGGGGCGCCTGGAGCCACTCCGCGAAGTCCCCGATGTTCGGCAGCGTCCCGCTCGTGGCCACGAACCGCACGGGGTTCTGCCGCTTGAGGTCGTGGCCGGGTCGGAATGGAGGGGGGGCCGCGGCTTTGATGGTCTTCATTCGGCTCACCACAGCCTCCAGGGCGGCGCCGCGGGCCTCATGGACGGTGTGGACCTCATCCAGCAGGAGTAGCCCAACGGCGTGGACGATGCCGAGGACTTCCTTCTCCCGCCATCGCCGCGTGATGCTGTCCCAGCGCTCGGGGGTGGTCAAGATGATATCCGCCGCGGAGACCGCCGCGAGGTTCTCCTCGGGCGAGCGCTGCCGATCCGCCTGGTCGCCGGTCTCGATGACCACCGAAAGCGGCGAAAAGAGCCGTTTCCAGTGCGTGTATTTTTCGTGCGCCAGGGCCTTAATGGGGCAAATGTACACCGCCTTGACAGACGACGAGGCAAGGGAAGGGCTCGCCAACGCGCGGGCCGAGCCTTGTTTGGGGGGGTGGTTGGGGACTACTAAACGGGAGCGAAATAGGCGTAGCATCGCCACTTCTAAAAGCAACGTCTTCCCGCTCCCGGTCGGCGCCGCGATGATGGCGTTTTCGTCTCCTTCCATGAGCGATGGTACCACTCGTTCCTGCACTTTCGTAAACTCAGTATGCGGGATATATGAGGCAAGATCGCCCAGCGAGCTCAGAACACGAGACATCCACTTGTCTTATATGCACACACCCTTTGATCACAATAATAACAGTGAGAAAATAAAGGCAGTAGTATTCACGGCACCAGATTCGCTTTAGATAGGGTTCCATTGCTTTATTTTTCTTTTAAACAAAAAAAAAGAAGAAAAACGTATATGCCATTGAATAGTTTCCATTTGTTTCCACGATAGGTTGGGGTGGTTCGGGTGAATAACCCCAAAACCATCATCCGATGGCCGCCTTTTAGCAATCCTCAGAGTACCCTGAAAGCTCCTGCAAAACCTCCGCAGGGGCGCCCTGCTGGCCAGCGGCCTGCAAAACAATCCGAAGACCTTCCTTCGAGCACGCCCCGCCCACCGCGCGCATGCCCCGGACGACCTCTCGCGAAGCCTGCCAACTCCACAGTGGGCTCATCGTCGTCATCGCGACGTCGTAAAGGTGGGTTGGCAGCCTCAGGCCCTTCGCGTGGGCGCGTTCGATCCACAAAAGCACCCCCCCCGGGCTCCCCACGTAAATCGCCGCCTCGACACAGAGCCCGACCTCCGCGAGGGAAAACCGCCCGTGTTGTTGGCTTAAGTACACCGCCATCGCCCACGGGATGGTCGCCCAGCGGCCCTCCCGGGCGAGGTAGGCGGCGAGCATCGGGACCACCTCGAGCACCCGCCGACGAATCATCGCCGTCAAGAAGTCCTCGCCGATCGGGTGCGGGGCCTGGGACTCGACGATCCACCGCGCGAGGATGCCCACCTCCTGCGAGACGGCAAACGGGACGTGCAGGAAGAGCTCCCCCCACGGGTAGGCGCGCGAGGGCGGGCGGGGGCCGCCGCCCGCCCCGCGCTCCTTCAGGACGATCCGCAGGAAAGTGTTCAGGTTCAGCACGGAGGGCCGCAGGGCGTAGAGGGCGTAGGCCCGCGCGCAGGCGCCCGGCGGGACGCCCCCCTCCTCCCCCCCTCGGGGCGCCTGCGGAGGTAGG